TATGAAATAAGTGCGAATGAGAATGGAATGGAAAACGGGAAGAGGGGAATTTGCACATCTTGCATATTTGCGTGGCTGTCGATGCGGCTGGTTTCGGGTGACGGAGAGACGGCTGGCTCCGCTAGCTTCCGCTGGTCTCCAGACTCAGCGTTTGTGCACACAGTGAATGGGTTAATGACCATTCATCTGTGTCGCTGAGGCTTGGGGGCGGCGGTGTGTCCGCAACAATGTGTGCGGTAACTCCTCCCCCCCTAGAGTGGAGAGAGGGCCATAGCGAAGGAATGGTCGGCTCCACAAAGGTAGGTACAGGTGTAGGTTGCGGGAAAAAGATCGTCTTTGGTCTATTGCATATTCGGAGGATGACGATGAGGACTAAGATCAGTAATATTGTCGAATATATGGCTGTAAATTTATAATGTGTTGCATTGTCCATGTTGGTGATCTTCCCAGCTGTCGATAGGGTTTCTAGGTGTAACTTCTCCAGCGATAGTGTTTTGATGGTTTGATTTTTTGTAATCTTGTCGACTGGTGGGAGTACAAAAGTAAAGTGGTCGTGTTCTATCAATTCTCTGTCGCTGTATTCCACGTCGTTTAACCATACTGTACAATTATTGTACCGTAGTATGTAGGAGCCATCCAGCTGTGTCTCGTCATAGCACGTTGATTTAAGGGTGACGTTTTGTCCGTTGAAAATAAAGATAAAACCTTTTTCGGCTTCAAATATGTTCATTTCGTATTCTGTGTCCATTACATCGCATTTTGTTTCCTTTGCGTTCTTGACGATGTCCGACAGGCATCTGTTGTTTTTGGTCACCATATCCATATGCGTTTTTTCGCAGAAAAACTCCCGCTCCACTTTAAGACAGCTTTCATGAAATTGGTGAAAGGTGTTGTTGGCATGTGCCAGGAATTCCGGGGAAATGATGAAGTGTGAGTTGTTTAATGGTAAGGGAACAATATGAGTGAATTTATAAATTTTTGTATCGAATATTGGTATCTTAACGTTAAACAATAATTTGGTATTGAAAGTATAACATGATGGTATAAGAATGTTATAGATGTGTTCATCTAATTGTAAGTTAATGTTTTGAATGCTTAACATATTTCTAATAGAATTAATTTGTTCTTTGTTGAATAAAAATTTTGGGATTAATCCTAATTTGCTAGCCAAAAGGCTTTCTGCTATATTATTAATGTGTTCTGTTAGAGTGTCGATGTTAAAGTTTATTCGGTTAATATATTGTAGTGTGTATATATTTTCTCTATCCTCTCTGAGTTCTTTGAAGATTGAATTCTGTGCTGTATCCAAAAAGTGTTGTAGTTTGGCTTGTTCCCTATTAATGTGTTCTGTAATGTTGTTGAACCTAATAATAACTTGTTTATCGAAGTTTACTTGTTTTTCTTGATCATTCTTCAAGGCATGGGATGTTTCTTTTAGGGTTTTTATCTCGGCAAGAATGTTCTGGCCATCATTGTCATCTAAATTTCCTGATATTGATTTGAAAATGGTTCCTAGGCCATTTATCAAACCTCTTTTACTCCTTACGTGTGGAAGTAAGGTGTCTATTCTGTCTTCTAATTGTTGTAGTTTCCCTTGAATAATCTCTTCCGAAATTCTAAATGTTGTATCTAGTGTAAGGGCTTTTAACGTGTTTCTTATTTTGAGAACGCACTCCTTGAAGTCTTGGATGTCTACGACATGGGTCAGAATTTTATGATTTTGTGTCATGTGAGCGTTTCCCAGATGAATGAGTGCGAGAGGTGAGGATCCGTTGAGTCTTTCCAAAGAGAAAGACTGTGCGGTGGAATGGGTTGTTCTGGAATGAAGCAGGTTTACTGGGTGTTATTGTTTTTCCTGATTGTTTTTCTTATTTTCTGTTTGTGTAATTTTTGTTGTCTGGTTGTTATTAGTGTAACCCCTTTATCAGCTCTGACTTTGTGTAACGAAAATCTAGGTGTTAGTTTGTTTCTCCTATTTTCTTTTCTGAATACCACATCGTCGCTTTCGACCTGAACTGGTGGTTCCCTTTCTTGATTTAACTTGGTCAATCTTTGTTCTGTTTTGTTACTTAATTGGTTCTGGATTTGAGGGTATAGTTCCCTTCTAAATTCGTTAAGTTTTGTTAAGTAATCATGGTGGTTGTCGAACTTCACTGTTTTTTCAAATATGTGAGTTCTACCATGGAAAAGTTCGAATGGTGTATGGGCGGTACTGGAATGTATCGCATTGTTATATGTTGTCAATACTTCCGCGAATATTTCTGCGTGGTCACATTGCAGTTGGAGTTCTTTTCTGCGGTTGACAATTATTCTATACAGTTCCGTGAACGTTGAATGGAGTCTTTCAACAGGTGCGTTTCCCGTTGATTGTTGAAACGAAGTCATATGAATGGTTATGTTGTACTGTGCCAGAAAATCGTTGAATAAGTTCCCTGAGAATTCCGCGCCTTGGTCAAAGACCAATTTTTTGGGTAAGCCAAAGGTACTGAAGAAATGTGAAAGTGCTGCGATAACCTTAATTGAGTTCCTATTAGTTAATGGGTATGCTTGCGCAAACTTCGAAAATTTGTCGATGATGGTTAAATTATTCGTGTTATTGATTGTGTAGATGTCAATATGGACAACATCTAAAGGCCCTGATGGTGCAGGTGGGGCCTGCATGAAAGGTCTATGAGGTTGTCTATCATATTTAAGTGTTAGACAAATGTCACAGTCGTTGATTATTTGTGTAATAATTGCTTTCATACGCGGAAAATATACGTCCCTTTTGAGATGACTAAAGGTTTCATCGATTCCTCTATGGTTGCTATTAAGATGGTATAATTGAATTTTGCTCTTTTGTTCTTCTGTACTGGAAAGGTCGATTAAAAGTGATGTGCAACGACAGATGTTATATAAGTTATTCCCTGTAAAATAATTGTTGAACGCCTCTTCAATTATAAGAAAGACGTTATCCGGTGCCGAAATGGCATGTGTTTTGTTTGGTTTGAGAATAGTCTGAAGTATATTAGTGATTGAGTCAAACGTATATTCAGGTTCCGAGAAGGTTCGTCTTATTTTCTGGGGAAATGGTGTTATTATTTGTACTGGGATTGATGGCCCGATTTGGAAAACTATTTGGATATTAAAATAATTTAGTGGTTTTTGGACAACTGTTATTCTCGGTGGGTCTTCGTTTACATTTAAATTTGGTTCTATTCTGCTAAGTGCATCAGCAACAACATTTTGGGAGCCCTTTTTATAAACTACTTCGTAGTCATAAGCGGCCAGAGTGGTTTTCCACCGAAGTAATTTTGGGTTTTGACCCTTTAAATTTTCTAGCCAGACTAATGGTTTATGGTCTGTTACTATTTTGAATCTGCGGCCAAAAAGGTAAGGTCTAAAGTGCCCTACGGACCAAACAATCGCTAGCATTTCTTTTTCTATTGTTGAATATCTAACTTCTGTGTCCGAGAGAGTTCGGCTGGCGAATGAGATAGGTCTATCATTTGTGTCTGGTCCCTGAGATAGTACCGCACCTATGGCATAATTACTCGCGTCTGTGGTCAATGTAAATGGTTTAGTAAAATCCGGGTAAGCCAGTATCGGGTCGTTACACAAGAGGTTCTTTGAATAAGCTACTGCTTCTTTAAACTCGTCGTCAATCACTATTGATTTCTTGCCCTTCAGTTGTCTAGTTATTGGTTTGGTTATTCCCGCGAAGTCCCTTATGAACTTCCTGTAATAACCTAATAAGCCTAGGAACGATTTAATTTCTCTAGTGGTTTTAGGGCAAGGAAAATCTTTTATCGCTTGGATTTTGTCTGGGTTAGGCTTAACTCCTTCCTGTGTAACAATGTGTCCCAAGAAATCAATTTCTTTCCTAAGGAAATTGCATTTAGATGGTTGTATTTTTAGATTTGCGTTTTGTAATCTGGTGAAAACTGATTTAATGTCTGTAATATGGCTTTGTAGGGAGGGGGAAAATATTATGATATCGTCGAGATAAACCAGGCAAACTTTCCCTACTAAATCGCCTAGGACGTTGTCCATAACGCGTTGGAACGTCGCAGGTGCGTTCTTGAGGCCGAAGGGCATCCTCGTAAACTCGTAATGTCCGTTTTCGACTGTAAATGCTGTTTTGTTTGCATCACGTGGATTCATTTCTATCTGGTGAAAACCGCTTGCCAAATCAATGGTTGTGAAATATTTGGTTTTCCCTATACTGTCCAATATGTCTGCTATATTAGGGATTGGATATCTATCTGAAATAGTTTTTTCGTTTAGTTTACGGAAATCTATAACTAGACGCCACTTTTTCTGACCTGATGCATCGGATTTCTTGGGGACGACCCATACAGGTGCGCTCCAAGGGGAATGACTGTTTCTAATAATATTCTGTTGAAGCATCTTTGAAATTTGTTTCCGAACTTCCTCTTTATGAATAAATGGGTATCTATAGGATTTGGTGTGGATAGGTACATCGTCTACCGTTGGGATCGAGTGTTTAACGACGTTAGAAAATGTTAGTTGGTTATCTTCGTTATAGAAAAGTTTTTTGAACTGTTTGCAAAGTTTAATTAGGTTTTGTTTTTCTTCATTGTTCAAGTGCTCTGTTTGAATATCTAATTCTGACTGTGTGTCTGTGGGGTTCGGGCCTTCGCCAGCGAACATGCAGTATAAGTATTCGTAATCTTGTACAGGGGCTGATTCTGCCTGCAATGGTTCCTCTAAATATAATGTCTGGTCGTAGTCTGACATGTTGCATACTTCAAAGTGTGCAAAGCCTGCAACTGCGGTATAAAGACCACCTGTGATTGTTAAATCGTTGTTTAAGGTTGTATTCTCGAATAAAAAATCTCCCTCCATTAAATTCACAGGGAGTGGTAATCTAACCTTAGTGTTTAGTGGTATAGTATGCGTTGTGTCTACCGGGTTTGTGCTCGTTAAAATTGGTAGGGAAAACCTCGTCGTATCTAGGCTACTTAAGAAATCCATGCCCAAGAGACCATTAAAATGAGGGTGGAAGTCAAACAAAAAGAATTTTGTTTTCTTCGTTGTGTCAAATTGCTCGAAAATAATTGAGTCTGTATATTCTTGGATTTGGAACTTGTTGAGAACGGTTTGGATGTTGATATGACTGTTTAATTTCTGAATATGGTCTTTTGTAATCAATGTTGGTTTTATAAAAGAGTACGTGGACCCGGTGTCTATAAGAAATTTATGTGGGTTTGTTGAAATGGATTTTGAGGATAAAATAACGTAAGGTAAAGATTTCCCATGGGATTTTTTGTTTAAGAAGCCGACTGGTTGTCCGAGGCTTCTTGTAAAAAATTTGCGCCATCATTGATGTTGCATGAGGCAGAAGGAGTATTGTTGTTTTGTTGGGAGGAAGAATTTGATCCCGAATTGTTTCGGAAAGGGTTCTGAGTTCTGGAAGAATGATTCTCCTGTCGATTTTGAGGCTGTTGACGAGTGTCGTTTCTCCTAGTGCTGTTGCTACCCGATTGTCTCTGATTTTGCTGGTGACGTTGATACGGGCGGTTCCGATCAACCGAATTTTCGCGATTGCGGTAATTTTGTTGATCATTTGAATTTTCGCGACGGCGATTATTTTGTTGCCCATCAGAGTTCTGGTAATAAAAGTTCTGTTCTATTTGTGCGATTTCGTAGGCTTTTTCTATAGATTCTGGATTTCGGGACCTGATAATTGTTTTAAGTGGGCCGTTTAATCCCACAACAAATGCATTGAGGCAAATGTCGGAGTATAGGGCGTGTTTTGCAGCTAAGTTTTGGGCATCGCGATCTGAATCATTGGTCAATGACACCAGTTGACTTCTCAACTTTGCTATTGCGAAAAAGAGTTTATTTATGGAAAGTCCGCTTGGTAAAGTTTGAATTTCGCGAATCAATATAGCCTCCGTCTTCTTGCTAGTGTAGAGTCGTTTAAGATTTGCTTTGATTTCATCCCATATAAGCGGTGTACCGCAAAGGTCCAATGCTTCATGTGCCTTGCCTTTTACTCTATTACGAATTGCCCTGAGAATCATTTGGCCGTACGGGGTCTGATCTACGGACCGAATGAGCATAAGTAATTCCTCAACACTGTCAATAAAAGTTTCTAGATTGTCGGAGGGACCCTCGTAAGTTGGCAAGTGTTGTACAAAACCCAATATATCTTTCGGACTTAAATTTGTGCTGACAATAGTCATCGAGTTGCTAACTGTGGGGCTGAGGGAGCCCGATGCGTTTCCAGAGTCTAAATTATTCATGTTGGTATTAGAGGGTGGTGCTTCTTGTTCTATTTGGTTATGCTGTTCTTCCTCCTCAAGTTCTCTTATGTCTATTAGACTACCTCCACTTCTCAAGCCTAATCTGGTTCTAAGTTTACTAGCTGCGCTAACTTTCTTTAACATTTAGTTATTCTTTCTCGTTATTTATGAGATTGATTATGAATATTATGATTTTAGTGATAAATTGTAAATGTCGTAATATTAATTGTAAATATAATATCTAGTAAGTAAATTCTAGTTTTCTGTGACTTGCATAGATTTCGTAAAAATTTTAATTGTTGTGTGTTGTTCCAGTGGTATCTTCTCCCCGTGTCGTGTTTAGTGTTGACTGTAATATATGTATATATATGGGATTAGTGAATTGTTTTAATAAAGTAATTACATGACTATAGGTGAGTGAACTTATGGCGACTACAAGAGAGAACAATATTTTGGTAAAATAAAATACGGCGTAATTATTTGAACTGGATTTTTGCTGCATAGTGTATAATTGGTGTGTTCGTTTTATTAAATTCTTTTATTTGCGCTTGAATTGCTGTCTCAACGGTTTTGCTCGTTATGTCTTTGTGTGGCTTCATTGTGGCTGTTTTTTTTTTTTGATGTGTTGGGTCAAAATAAGTGTCGTTTGGATCTCTGTTTTTTAGAGTTTTGTTAAATAAAAATTATTTAATTACTAATATATATATTTTATTATTTTTTTTTATTTTAAAATTTTAGGTGAATATATATTTCGTGATCCCGGTGCCTTATCAGAGTTTGATGTGCACATATTCGGTCACGATTTTTTTTTTTATGCATTTTTTATTTTAACAATTTAGGTGAATATATTAATTGCGTGGTCCCGGTGCCTTATCAGAGTTTGATGTGCACATATTCGGTCACGGTTTTTTTTTATTATGCATTTTTATTTTAACAATTTTAGGTGAATTAATTACGTGATCCCGGTGCCTTATCAGAGTTTGATGTGCACATATTCGGTCACGATTTTCTTATTAAGCATTTTTTATTTCAACAATTTTAGGTGAATATATTAATTGCGTGGTCCCGGTGCCTTATCAGAGTTTGATGTGCACATATTCGGTCACGGTTTTTTTTTATTATGCATTTTTATTTTAACAATTTTAGGTGAATTAATTATTATTATTATTATTTGCATTCTGCCACATTTTGAACACTCACACTTATACACTTGCACGAATTTAATTGTTAATTGCAATTTATTTTGTTTTTCGCATTTTCTTGTTCTCTTTTGTTTTTTCTGCCATTAGTACACTTACCTGTCTTACAGAAATAGTATGATCAGGAGTTGGAGCATCTCTATCTCCAGGTTCAAGACCAGGCTGCGCCAATTACAGTATCTAGGTATACTGTGGGTTAAGTCCCAGGGGTGTTTTCAGTATCCAGGTATATTGCGAGTGAGTCCAATGGGTGTTTCAGTAATATTCGATAAGTTTTAATAAATCAGAACCTCTTTCGTCTTCGGTCAAAATTATAATGATTCTTTATTGTCTTCGAAACTAAGAACTAACTTATGAAATAAGTGCGAATGAGAATGGAATGGAAAACGGGAAGAGGGGAATTTGCACATCTTGCATATTTGCGTGGCTGTCGATGCGGCTGGTTTCGGGTGACGGAGAGACGGCTGGCTCTGGGTGACGAAAGGACGGCTGGCTCCGCTAGCTTCCGCTGGTCTCCAGACTCAGCGTTTGTGCACTCAGTGAATGGGTTAATGACCATTCATCTGTGTCGCTGAGGCTTGGGGGCGGCGGTGTGTCCGCAACAATGTGTGGGCGGGGCGCGCCCGCCAAAGGGGGGTGGTTGGGGGGGGGTGTGTCGAGAGCACAGAAGTTCACCGCCAGAGTCTTAGACAGGCAGCTAACCGAATCCCGAGAGCCACAGACCCGCTGCACCTAGTCTCACAAGAGCACGCGGACAACGGAGACAGGATTCGCGCCGTGAGCAGAGCGAGGACATCGAGGACACGAGAAACGACGAGCAGTCATCGCAGGCCCAGCAACAACCAAGCCACACTCCGACGTATCCAGTCCACGGCTAAGAGGCGAGGGCGGAGTGAAAATGGGAATAAAGCAGCAATTCACGGCGCCCTACACACCGCAGGAAAACCCAACAAAACGGTCTAACCGTACGGTTAAAACGATGATAGCTCAACTCGCAGGAAAGGATCACAGAACTTGGGACGAGAACTGCCCAGAAATTATGCTAGCAGTGAACTCAAGCATATTTGAGTCAACTGGATACTCCCCAGCGTTTCTCACACAAGGCCAGGAACCCCGTTGCCTAACGCATTATATGACAGAGAAACGTTAGGCTCGGGGAGAAACACAGAGACTCCAGACGAGAAGGCCGCTAAGTTAAAAGAAATCTTCGAAATCGTACGGCGAAATATGGAAAAAGCATCCCAGGACCAAGCCAGACAGTACAATCTGAGGAGGAGGCAGTGGACACCAGAGGTGGGCAGCATAGTGTGGGTCAAAGAACACCACCTATCCTAAGCAGCCGAAGGGTTTGCTGCGAAACTAGCCGCGAGGTACGATGGTCCTTACCAGGTTGCAGATTTCGTCTCGCCGGTAATCTGCAAAATACGCCACACACATTCGAAGAAAGAGCGGACGATTCACATTGGCGAGCTTAAGCAGCAACAAACAGAAACGGCACAAGAACAGACGGCGGACACATCGGAGGACTAGGGCAAGGATTTCACATTGATACAGACTGCGAGGCAACAGGATTAGGCGTCAGGCCGAAGCAAGAATCATCCATACGCCATGCAGAAAGGATAATCACAAGGATAAGACACAGAATATAAATGGAAAACGATGCTAGGGACCCCGACTACGAGGCAAACGGATTCAGCGTCAGGCATACGACCGAGTCATCCATCGATACGCCGCGTAGATAAGGTGTAACATAACAAAAAGAGGGGACCCAAACAGACGAGGCAGTCGGATTCAACGTCGAGCATACGCCCGAGTCATCCGCCTATACGGCGCGTAAATAGGGTACATAAGAAAAGGAAAGATTGAATAAAAACCCCAACAAGGCAGACGGATTCAGCGTCGGGCATACGCCCGAGTCATCCGCCTATTCGCCGCGTAAATAGGGTACCTAAGGAAAAGAAAGGTTGCATAAAAAACCCAACGAGGCAGTCGGATTCAACGTCGAGCATACGCCCGAGTCATCCGCCTATACGCCGCGTAAATAGGGTACATAAGAAAAGGGAAGATCGCATAAAAACCCCAACAAGGCAGACGGATTCAGCGTCGGGCATACGCCCGCCTATACGCCGCATGAAATAGGTTTACAATACGAGCAGCAACTGCAAATATTTAGCGTCGTTAGACTCTATACGGTGCTGGTGAGGTTATGTAGCAGTCAGCAGACTGGTACGGTAACCTTCCAAAAGATGGGATGATCCTAAATAATCGTGGCCGAACGTGGCGTGCTGTAAGTCGTGGTATCAGCGCAGTTTGTAGGGGTGCCGCGCATGTCTCGCTTTTGGGCTTGAAGTCAGCGCAGTCTACAAGGGTGTCACGCGTGGCTCGCTTTTCGGCTTGAAGTCAGCACAGTCTACAGGTACACTCTATATGACTTATAGTTGATTTAATGGCCGCTACCAAGTACTTATCAAAAGTCATACGTGGTACGGTTTTCTTTTTCTTATAATTTGACTTGCGCAGCGTTGAAGTGCGCATTCTTTTACAATTGGAAATGAAATGAACGAATGCTCTGGCACGCGTTGCTGTCTGGAAATCGCGACGTTGCTAAACTTCAAGTAACGGAATGCTTCCATATTCTCATTCTCATTTCTGTTTTTACGTGCTTTCGGTATTTCGCGAGAGAGAACACACTATGCGAATACGCCCGTTAGAGTGAGTGGTCTAACTAGCTGATACTCGTCTACCTGGGTAAAGCGAGTTGTCAAACTTCAGCGAAATTGCACTGAAGTTTTGATTTTTATTTTTGCCTACTCCCGCTTGGTTGACTGTACATAAGAGAGAGCCTTTGCGTCATGCCTGCCCTATACTCTCACTTTAGCTTCGAGGCTCACTCGAATTTGTATGTCGAAAATACTTTTGGCCAAATTTATTCTTATTTAGTTTCTTATAAACGCGCCAAGTGTGGAAACAGGGCCTGTGGATAAAACTCCTTATTTTCTATCAGAATGCAAAAGGCTTGCATAGCAAGCTTGCTAAATTGTATTCTGATAGCCATTTTTTGCATCCCATATTATCGTGTCCCTTTAGACGGGGGGTGGAGTCTTAATTGGAGTATATTCAAAAACTACGTCAGAGGAGTAATTTATTATACATAACTTCCTGATTATTTAAAAAAAATTCAGTTATCAAGTCTGTTGCAAATAAGTTTTTCGATAAGGATCAGTTAGTAGTTCTAGGAGATAAATATACCTATAGTTACGTGGTATTGTCTTACCATCTATAGTACAAAATTATTTTTTAGTTGGCCTGCTATACATATAGTTGTCTCAAGTAAAATATGTTTAAATTCGCCTACCTGACTAATTATTTGTATCAAATCGTGAAGGTGTCCAGAATAGGAACACTTACACAGACTGAAGATCCATTTCCATATCGAAGTGAAAATCAACACGGGTAACGTAATAGAAGAAAAATCTGAAAAATCAAACAAATGTTTTCGTAAAATAGTTTTTTTCTAATATATTTTTTTCAGCGGTACTACTCGTCAATCCCAATAAATCACTTTTCTTTAGCAAAGAGTTGATATACTTAAGAAATATTAAGTGCAGACTTCTTATGAAATATAAAAATACCGGGTCAATTTGATTGATATTTAGTGCTCGGTCAAGATTCACCGTCATTGTTATAATAATTACTTAAGCCGTTGTAAGCTCTCACAGGACCCGAAACAGTTTTATAACTTCGTTAACCCCAAGCGTAAATCGAATTCTTACCTTTCCTCTCTGCCGTTTGAAAACATCCCGGCAACCACAGATTAAGCAATAATCGATTTATTTGCCCATTTTTTTCAAACGGCTTACTCTACCTTAGTTAAAAACACAGCCATATTCTTTCACCATATTCAAGTGGAACCTTAAATTCTGTCCCACTTTAACAGAAAGCTCTCTTCTTTTGGATCTTCTTCGTGCCTGTTTATTCGTCAGCGCCCGATGGTATTCCTGGGTGCGTGCATTACCTAAATTTCTCTGACGCCCTGTTCAAACCCCTTTACAAATTGTTTATTTTATCTCTAGAAACTTTCCAATTTCCACATATTTGGAACGAATCATTTGTAATACCTTTTTACAAGAAAGGTAACAAGTTAAAGGCTGGTAACTATTGAGGTATATTCATTTTAATCTGCGACTTACACGTTCAGTATTACCTCTTTGGATAGAATAACTCTTGTGAATGATCTTCGCGTTCTTTTGGACTAACATTTTCTAATCACATTTTGTCCATAGTTAATATAGCCAGATGAGTGCTTTATTAAAAGGTGGTCAAGAGAATTCGATGATCCTTATGTCACTAAAACTTTATTTATTTCACTAGTCCGTCCGATTTTGGAGTATGGGTCTCCCGTCTGGAGTCCACAATACGGAATACATATTGGCCCCGCTGAATCAATACAAAAAAACGTTCTTATTTTTGATTTACGGCGCTTAAACTGGATGCAAATCATATCTTACCTTCCATTTCAGTACACTACAGTTAATTCCTGCCTAACCAACGGTGGTTGGTAATGTCTTCATTTATAACCATATCCTTGCTGCGATTGACAACCCCGACTTGGTAAGTAAGCTTAACTTTTTTGTGCCAAGTAGATTAAATAGAAATTGTATTCCCCCAATATTTAATCGTTGTATATCTATAACTATGCCTTTCATGAGCCTTTCAGACTTCTTCCTATTATATCAAATCTTGATTCTCAGCCTCTCCTAAAACATTTCTCCCCGGACCTTTTACTATGCTTTCATATCTCGCGTCTATCTGCTCGGGAATCGTGCCTTACGCTGTATCGCAAATTTAAGAAGTAAAGGTTCGACGCAATACCTAGTGCAAATAAACAGGCCTAATTCTGATAGACGTTGATGCACTACGAGCAGTACAAGCAAGTGGCCCAACGCCACCAAGCACGTGTTAATTTGTGCGAAAAATGTGAGTTCGCAAGGAAAATACATAAATTAAATAGAGACAAGACACAAGTGAAAATAAAACGCACAATTAAGACAAAAAACAAATGAGTTAAAATATTAGTTTTTAATAACGGGATAGAAGTGGAAATGCAAATTAGATGATAAAAGTTGTTATAATTATTACATAGAACGCGAAAGGGCTCGTGCAGACAAAAA